GCGATGTTTTTTTGAACTAATTAACATCGCTAAGCGAGGCACCACTGTATTTGAAAGATACACAAAAAATTGTATGCATAAGTTACATTTTTAAATTCTACATTAAATTACCTTACTAACATGTGTTATGTGCCATCAAGTTGCATCCAAATTACAGCAACCTTGATAGCGTTTTCACGGTACAGTGATGCCTCGCTTAACGGGCACCCCATTTAACGACGAATCCGCATAGCGATTAAATTTTTGCGATCGCAAAAGCGATCGCATTGCAATGATTTAGATAGGAAAATATCACTTTGCGATGATTGGTAAGCTGTTTCGCTTACCGATTTTCGCATAGCGATGTTTTTAGAACAGCTGATCGGCAGTTCTAAACTGGCCACCGGGTTAAAAAAATGGTCCCCCGCTGTGTTTTCGCGCCGATTCCTCGCTTACCGGGCAGCAAAAATGGCAGCCGTATGATTTTCAATTAAAGGTGAGTTTTTTGCCCATAGGAACACATTAAGCAGGTTTTAATGCATTCCTATGGGCTTTTTCTTTTTGCATAGCGACGAATCCGCATAGCAACAATTTTTGCTGCACAGATTATCGTCGCTATGTGGGGCACCACTTATGGAGTGATATTAGTACTACCATCTCCTAGTGAGTTTCTGTGCTTCAGTAGGAATTTGAACCCAGGTCTCCTAAATCCTAGTTTATTGGTTAATGCATTATATCACACTAGCATACAGGAATAGAAAATTATATGCTACATTTATAAATGTTACCATGGATCTGACATTTATGGTAAATGTTTCATGATAAATATTTTACTTTGGTTACTTTGTCCTACTTGACATTCACCAAAGCAAGGGTACCAAACATATGGCACTCCAGATATTTGACTAGACATGTGAGCTTCATATCCATCTCCCCCAGAAGAAAGATATGAAGCCCACCAGGCACAGATATCCTGGTGGTCCTTCCTCACCCCCCCAGAAACAGCCCTCCTTGGCACACCTTGCAGGGGCGACATTCCAATTGTGGACATAGTCCCAGTTGCACTGCACTGCCTCTCCCTGCAGCGTACCACTCCAGTGAAGAGATGGAAGGACAAGTCTCCTCACTCAACTGCTCGACAGTCAGCTGAGGGGAGAAGCAGGGAAGCACCAGCAGGACTACATCTACGATTGGTGTGATGTCACCATCACTGGGAACGCATGCACCAAGGAGCCTGATAAGTGGACTGAGTTGGTTCTGGGGGGTGGAGAGGACCACTGGGGCACATGTGGTGGCAGACGTCGTATTTGTTTCCCCTGAGAGACAAATATAAAGCTCCCATGTCTAATTTTGACCAATAATCCCCACACTTCCTTATCACTGGCAATGAAGGCTAGAGGTTCTGTGATTTGAAGCCCCAAACTACAAGATCCCAAAAGGTTTGCTAGCCCTGCACCACCATATTTCAAAATACCAAATTATATATAAACACCTGATATACTTTCCTTACAATTCCAATTCTTCTGTTGGGTTCTATCTTGGACTCTATAATACTTCATCTCTACGTTCAACAGAGGTAATTTTCTCTTTGCCCTATCCAATGAGAGGAATTTGAAGGGAATGCCTAGATCCAAGCTTGCTTTTCAGATCATCTAAGACTGAACTTATCAATACTGTCACCAAAGAATTCTTTTAAATTCTTTAAACAAAATCTCTGGTTTATGAAACTGGCATATTATGCTTCCATATTCATGATTCAAAACACCAGGAAATGACATGATATTAATGCACAATATTGTACCCATGTTGCCAGCAGGAAAAAGGATGCCAAGCTTCACATAGCAAAGGGCAGCCTCAATGCTGACAACACCAATGGCTTACAGCTGGGATCCCCAACCCCCAGTCCGTGGCCCGATACCAGGCAATGGCCTTGGCAGGACTGGGCCGCAGAGACAGATCTCCCGCCCCCACACACATATGCCCCCAATACACGCCCCTGCACAACTGCTCTGTGCTTTTGTAATACAAAAATACTCTGGATATACCTTACAAACTGTATGCTAATGCTCTGGAGATACGTGACAAAATATCCCTTTTTGGAGCACTGGCTAGTCACAGAAATCCTGAGAAAATGTTTACTAAAAGGACTCAGGACTGGGACAAACACAACTGCTCTGTGCTTTTGTAATACAAAAATACTCTGGATATACCTTACAAACTGTATGCTAATGCTCTGGAGATACGTGACAAAATATCCCTTTTTGGAGCACTGCCACTCTATTACTTCATTTAAAGCAAGCATGTTTTTATTTATTTATTTATTTATTTATTTTATATCCCGCCTATCTGGTCGGTTAAGACCACTCTTTTTGGCTCTTCAAAGGAAAAAAACCTGTTTTTCGATTATATCTGTGACCTTTAATTTCCATCCAAACATCTCCCTTAGATCATGAAGCTGCAAATTTGCTGGTAATTCTGTTATATGCATGCTCAGTTTATAACAAAAACTTTTTGAAAGGTCTTTTTGAGGATCAATATTTCAGCCCCGGCAGCCTAGATTCCTTCCAAATTAAAAAAGAGGGATGGGGCCAACAATTAATTTTCAAGATAAGCATGATTGGTCTTTTAAATATATTTAATTTGTTTTAAATCTGGGGAATGATTGCTTGCTTCTGCAGGAGGGGTGGAAAGTGTTACTTTTTAAAAAATCATAACTTGAAAACCCTTTGCCCAAACGTCCTCAAAATTGGACCACAACATGTTTGCCAAATTTGGTGTTGATCCAAAGCCGAGCTTAAAAGTTATATGTTTTTGTTTGGGCTGCCCCTGCTTTCAGAATTGCCTTGTAGAATGTTCATTTGCTCTGTTGCACAATAACATAGCTGCACTCTCAGGCAGTAATAATTCTAAGTTTAACTTTGTTACAAAATTTACCATCATATGCTCATGTCCATTACGTATAACTTTCTTTTGATCGGTTTCTCTGGAGGCACATTATTATGTGCCCAACCACCAATAAACATACAGATGTGATACAAACCTATGTGCTGAATCAACAATTTCTCACAGTGAAAAGAGCAATGGAAACAATCTAAACCACAGCAGGATCTCTAAAATGTCACTTGAAAAAAATTACAATTCTTTTTCCTTTCTTTTACCCAGGCTCAAGGTTATTTCTTGACAACCTCTGACAAGTAGGACTGGGCAAGACTATGTGGCTGAAAAGGTACTGGAATCAGTCTCTCTAACATGGAAGAAAAACAGATCTTATTGTTTTCAAATGCAGGCTACAGTGGACACAGATGGCTCATTATATTCAAAATGTCTGGAATTCAGTTCATGTCCTCCTTTCTGGATCTTGAATAAAAGTATGGCAAGAAAAATTAAAATTCATTTTTGCAATTCTGAATCTGATCAGAGGGAGATCAGCAAGACTAAAATTTTTAAAGCAAGTTGGTTTAGGGATTTGCAAAGGCATGTTGCTGCTTTTGGACTAGTACTACAAATCTCTGCACCTGCCCATGATACCTCGCTTGAATGAAGCATATACCTTTACTTCAAGAATTATAAAACTTTGTAGTAATAATAAGTATGTGTCATCAAATTGATTTTGATTTGTGGTGACCCTTTTCAGGATTTTCTTCTTCTGGACACATCCTTGGGCTGTTCAGCTTCTCCAAGGTCACACCCGCTAGCTCTTCTGGGATGTACAGTGGTGAATCAAACTCTCTACCTCTGGCTCTGCAGCCAGATACTCAACTCACTGAGCTATCCAGACAGCTACATAAACATTATACATCTAAAATATTGTGTGATGAGAAAAATATTTTGAGAGATTTGAGACAAAGTTGTGTTGTTAGTCAGAGGTACGGGTGGTCTGTTTTAGTGAAGTGATGTGAAAAACAGTGTGTCAAAACTAGCATCTATCCAAATCTGCTAAAATTATATTTGTTGAAACCGATCTGCCTGATTTTGCTAAATTCTTGTGTTTTCTTCTTTTAATCGTTTAATTTTATTGTAATTTTGAATAGAACAGTAAAAATTTAAATAGATCTATTGCCGCTTTGAATTCCTTCACAGTATACTTTGATGATGAAATCTGCAGTTATAGAAGTAAACTGAAACATGGTTTCAGACAACAGAAATAAATAACTTGGCAGGAAAAGATTGGATATCAATAGAGCTGTTTCAGGCTACAGAGACTGAATCTCTCAAAATCTTAACAAGGACATTTCAATGAAAAGAAGAACAAAGCAATGGCCTACAGACTGGAA